CAAAAAACTTTCAAATGCCATTACCAAAGAGGTTTCGTTTCTCTGTATGAACAGACTAACGTTCTTGAAACAGACAACAAAATATAATGGGGGCAAAATACAACCAAAAGCATTTACATGCACCCACAATACCATATTTTGACCACTGGCACTGACCCTTCAGAACAAGTGTGAGGTAATATTTTTGGTCCCAAGCTAAACTGTAACAGTAGATGAGAAATTCCATGGAAATGCCTTAATTTCTCTGCAAAAGGAGCAGAGGCATGTTTGTTCCCAAGTGTTTCCATGATGGTTTGAGGTTAACATTCACCAAGAATTACCATCAATCATTGCAAGTTATTTACATAGTCTGATTTATATGGAAACTGTCCAAATATACTGTATGATTAATCAAGCCATAAGCTAACAATGAAATCATATTAATTCGAGAGGAAAAAAATAAAACGGCACAAAGTAAACGAGCCAACCTTCTGCGGAGATTAACCTGGATTCTACAGAGGATGCAGAAAATGTAGGTTAGACCAGAAATTCATTGTGATATTCTAGCAGTTGAAGACTGGGCTAGGACCTGAATTTGACCAAAACATATAGCAAAGTATGACTGAGTGCTGTCAATATACAAAACTATGATAAACAAGTATAACAGTGCACCAACGACCACTGGGCTGATGTATATAATTTGTATTACTGCACTTTTTTGGGATGCAGTCATCAGTACACTCAATAGATTTCCATCCCACCCCCCAAAACATTTATAAAATTTCACCTCTGTATCAAGATTTGTGATTTAATTTTGCTTGGCACTTTTGGAAGTCCTTAAATGCTATTCAGGTTTAACTTAGAAATTTGCATACTAACATTCAAGCATCCACTTAACTTTACCTGGAGCTTTAGGTATGGTTTTGGCCCCCTGACAGTGCTCCCAATGCTGCCCTAATAAGAGTGTATCTGAGCAGAGGTAAGTATGCGTGAAAAAAGAAACAATGCCTTTTATGTTTTGTGAAGGGTGTTTATTTCAATAATTACGATACCAGGAAATTACTAATTTGAATGTAGTTCTTAATCTAACTCTGTCTCTGAGGTAAAGTATTTCCTGTATAGGACGTTTTTTGTTAAAACCTTTAAATTCTCTTTAGAAGCGGACAATTTCAGCCCAGTGTGAAATTCGTCACAGCTTCAACAGTGAGATGATAGAAAGGACGACAAAAGACAGAACTGAAGGAATTAAATTTCACACTGGGACAGTAAAGTAGCAGTTTACTAATGTATTTTAGACATGTTCATAGAAATTATCCAGATTTCTAAGAGTCCTGTTTCTACCCACCTTTACAGCTGAAAAACATTACATACCTGTATACTGATATGTACTGTAGCAAACCTTTCCATCTTCACATCTGTTTTACTGCTCTTCCTGCATTCTCTTATTCTAATCACATTGCGCTTTCTTACAAAAAACTGAGTGTTAATTAAAAAACCTTCCAAAGATAATGAATAATAAGAAATCAAAATAATTAAGGGTCATATTTGCATACCACTGCTGTTGTAAAATGTGTTATGCTGATCTCGTAAACGAAGAAATATAGTTTAGCATGTCAGTAAATCTCCCAGTAATGCATTATCAGAATATTAATATAAGCACAATGAAAATGCAACTATAATGAATTGTAACATTGTCAGAGATAAATGACACTTCCAAGCCTCCAAACAGGTACAAATCGTCATCTGTCTAAAATGCTTACTTGTGTATGGTTTATAAAGTACAAAACATTTTGAGGTCAACACACATCACACAGCAAAAGATCTGTGCAAAAGCAGAGAGCCTATAGTACAGCACATTTAAAACTAAAAAATCTGACATGTTGCCAAGGGCTGTCTACAAAACAATTGCTGACATATATCCTCTGATTCCCACATCAGCTATCTACAAAATCATTTTAGATGACAGTTGATTTTTGAGACTTGCAACACGGGCCACTCAGATATGCTAGGAATTAACTTTTGGCTGATATTCACTGAATATCACATTTCTGTCACGTTACCATAATTCCAAAGAAAAGAGACAGTGAATAGGCTTTTGGGCAACATACAGTGCTACTGTTCTGCATTTACAAGTTTAGACTTGTCTTTGTATGAGATCTTTACACTACCATGGAGCAATAATGCTTTGAAGAAGTTAACAGAATAGCGTAGTTATTGAAAGTATTTTAGAAGAACAATTGCTTGAACACACAGAACGTTTTAAAAAAATACATAACTGCTTAAACAATAATGGCTGAAGATGCCAGGTAACAATCACAAAAAAACATTGCTCAAGATTGAGCAATAACTCTAGAATGTCAGAAAGCAGAGAATAAAATCTGACTGGTCAACCACTTATTTCTGTAAAATAAAGAATGTTACAAATTCTTTTTCCAGCCCAGTCCAGGGGCCTCCAACCAGACCACTTTGCAAGCCATGGCTGAAGTGGTCTGCGCCTAACAACCTTTGCTACCAATGAAAAGCAAACATCTCTCTTGCCCGGAACTTTATTTTAAATAGGTTTTTAAGCAAACATATTCAATTCTAAATATTCTCTGGAGAACCTTAGTGCAAGCCTCTTCACCAGATCATCAATGTACAGAAAAAAACAATTTAGTCAACTGACTTACAGTATCTTGTTAAATAAAGTATTATCTATTTATATCTGCTTTATGTTGTTCTTAAAGGCACAGATCCACGATAAAGGGTATCAACAGGCTGAGCTATTTTCATCTTGTTTTGCGTTACTCTTTTCGACTACCCTAGTCTCAGAAAATGCGGCAGAGAGATCTACAATCTGGGTCACCCTGCTTCCCATGGGACAGCACAGACCCTAAACAGGTTGCTGGTTGAAATGCAGGCTACTGGGTGCAAATAGCTCATCATGGCTAGGAACTAACATGAGAGGACCATTAGTAACAGCACTGCACAGGATGAGCAGGGTGATCAGCGATGGCCAGACACCCTCAGAGCTGGGGTTTAACACTAAGTACGGTATGTCGATTTTAAGACTGACACAAAATAACATGCAAGTGAAAGAGGTGGTCAGCATTAGACAGACCATTAGTGTGTGTCTTGGTCTCTCCCAGGCTAATGCTAATAAAATTGGTCCTTTACTAAGGTCTATACTGTAAAGAATAATTTCTTAAAGTACTGTAAACATTATTGTTACAACAGCTGACTTACAACCTAAGTGTTCCATTGCTGAAATTTCTGAATACCATTTTAGTAGTTTTCCACTTGTGTCCTCTGCTTTGTGTTAAAGGTTCCAAGTGGAACATACATGGAAATGCATTTGAAACAAGAGAACAGGAGGCACTTCTTTACGCAAAGCACTGTGGGGGTATGGAACAAGCTACCCAATCAGCTGGGAATCTGAGAATCAGATTTGTTGAAGCCGACAGCCTGGCTTCTATCAAGAAAGGGCTGGGGGATGATCCAATTAGTTGCTAACTAGCAAATGGGCTGTTTGGGCTGAGAGGCCTCTTCTTCTTGTCGGTAGCAAGTTTTGCTCTCCAATCGCTTCACACTGCAACTGCAACTCTCCTGAAGACATCATGAATTCCCACAAGGTTTTATGGATATTACCTGACGTGATCAAGTGAAAATGCCTAAAAACATAAAACTGTCTTGTGCTAACACACGTTTCAGTGTATGACCTCGGGCAGTGAAGCTTTAAATCATAGGTTCAAAGGCCAAGTATGAAGAAGGCAGAAAGAAAGGGGAGGGGGAATGTTCTCCTACAATCTGCTGTTTAACTGGGTCACACATGACCTGATTCACTGAGAATGTACAACTGCTCGCACTCCACGCTGTCTGTCTCAAGCTTCTGTCAATAAGGCCACTATCACTAGTTTATGTCAATTTTATAAGCTACACTGATGTGCAATGTTACACATTTCCCCAGAGATCTTCATAGCAGAAACAGTCACAAAATGATTTTTGTTCCCATCAGTGGAAAAGACCTTTATGGCAGGAACAGTCACAAAATGATTTTTGCTCCCATTGGTGCAAGAGATGTTTATAGCAGGAACTGTCTCAAAATGGTTTTCATTCCCATTGGTGAAAGACTGACATATGTCTGCCCCACACAGCTTTAACTATGCACATTCTATTTCCTTTTTTATTTTATTTATTTTATGTTATTCATGTAGCACAGGAGAATCAAGATTTATTTTCTTGCAATGATGGAAAACCCTTGCTTCCATGTGGCTTTCTCATACATGTACAAGAGCTACAGTTTATAAATTCAAACATTGTAGTACGTCTAATCCCTACCCACCTGATGTCCGCAGCTGTTATCCTATTGCTTGGTTCAGTTGAGAGAAAAAAAAAGTAATAAGGCTATAGTTATATCAATATAGGAGAAAAAAGGAATTAGGCTGATATATGCATGAGTCATCCTGAAATCAGGGTGGGATGGCCCTATTGTCAAACCTGTTCAAGACTGCTCTCTTAAAGGCTTGAAATATTGTTTTTTTTTCTATGTGTGTCTATATTGTTAATAGAGCGTCAATACTGGCTTTCACAGTCACAGACAAACGTACTGTGCTGTCCACAATATCCACCACCTCTTATATTTATACGGCCTATAAATACCATCGTTGTTAATAGCACAGTGTGAGCAAAATAGTGTACATGTGGCTAGATAAAGATTCGCACTTCTAAAACGTTGCGAAAGCCCAACAGACCGAATGGTGGGACTTCATTTATAAAGTTAGTTTAGTCTGTAAGTCAACCACGGTAGCTGTAGGTCCGTTTCTCTTAGTTACAGTGGGGAATCCATGACAGTGAACTAAAAATGAACTTTTAGATATTAAGAAAACGTGATCCAGAGTAAAAAAGAAGGATAGTATTTCACTTCATCGACGTTTTAGCACGAAATGAACTTTCTTCCGCCACAGAAAACTGAAAGGCCACTTAGAAAACATTTTTGAAGCCAAGCATGCGAAGCGTATTTACAGTTTCTTGGGGTTTCTTACCAGGAAGTGGTGTGTTTTCACTGCTGGGACTTCTGATGGCGGTTGCCTTTTCGATTACTTTTTTCAAGGTCTGCAGTGGAGTTCGTGGGCCGCTTCTGCGTGGCAGCCTACCATTCGGATTTAAAATTTTACCGTCTGAACTTCTAAAGTTAGTTGAAAAGTGTGATTTGTGTTGAGGGATTGTGCCTCAGCTGCTCCCCATTCCTGCTCAGTGCCAGTAATGTAAACATCCCAGCATTCCCGGAGGAAAGGGGCGGGGCGCAAGTCACCACTGAGCCTGTACAAAAACTCCGCAACGCTGGGAAAGTGACGAGTTTTCAAAAAGTTTGTATGACAGCACCAAGTGGTTGGTGTTTCCATTCATATCTGTGTGTGGTGCGTTTGTTAAGAACGATACCATTTTTTTCCATACTTTACCGGTATCTGTTGACCCGCAGTGTTATGGGCAAAAGACTTCTTCCATTTTGATGTCTGAGCAATGAGTGTCCTGGAGCAAACTGTTCTGTTTGACTAAGTTAAAAAGAAATCAATCACACAGCACTTTGTCCAGATTAATGAAAGCCTGTAAACTTTCATTAATCTTACATAAGTATGTGTGAATAGAAACGCTTGTATAGGCATTTAGTGAAAGTAACTAAATATAAATTATTATTCCCATTATAAATAAGAATAAAGGAGCAGAATAAGCTCTTTTCTTAAAAAACATATTTGGCATCAACATAAAGCGACATAGCGTAACAACCATATTTCCATCTCTTGTGATCATATTCTTTTTTCATGAAGGAAAACGTTAGAAGGGAGAATTTATGTTTGTTTACTTGTGGTCAGATATGTAATATATACTGTACTTTGCGCTTTACTCAACATAACCAATGTTTCATTATAGTACTTTAAAATTTGCGTGGATTGTGAAATGTATCTAGTGACCCTAGTATCCAGTGAAACTTTGTTCTGCACTATGTTCTACTAGAAAATAATGGAAGGAGGCAAAAAGCCATATTTAAATTTCATTTCCATTGTATGTTCTAATGAAATCTTTGTTCTACTGAGACCAGCTGCTCCCTAGTTAACTTGAATTAACATCTACAAGTCCTTAAATGTGATTGTGACATTAATTTACTTGTTAATTCCATCTCTGTTAGCATTCTATCATAAATGTGAGTAATGTTTCTGCAAAATATCCCAACTGTAGATTAAAATATTAATTAGATGCATGAATACCAATCTAACAAAATGTAATGGATATTCATTACACATTAAGCAGATGTTTTAAGATTTTGTTTGTTTCTAAGAATTTTTACAAAGACAAATGTTTTTTTTTACTCTTTGCACACCCACAATTTACACTATTGAATTAGAAATCTCTTTCTTTTTGTTAATCTTGTCTATACCTGGCAAATGCAAAATATTAAATATATACAATAAATAAGTTAAATATATGCTTCCCATTGACATTCAGCTTTAGTGTTTGGCTTTAGGAAGATCTGAAGATCTGGTGTGTGGATAGCGATATATAGGGATTATAGCTGAGGCTACATTGTGTGTATTTGTTTTTACAATTTTCTCTCTTCTTTCAATAGGATCAGTTATATACAGTACACATAAGGATCGTCTTAACAATTTCAAATTTCTGGTTTCTAGGGGAGTAATTAAAAGGGTATATGAAAAGTCATCAAACTGTAAAAAAATAGATTTATTTAGAGATCATATATTAGCCTATAATATAAAGGTTTATGGAGATTTTTTTTCTAAAACTTGGGCCTAAATAAAATCAAGCTGCCTGCAAAAACTGGAAACTAAAGAGTCTATGTGATAGAAGCATTCTGTTTTGTGTGTAGATGAAGTCTCTGTACTGAGTATTTGGTTTGTAATTTGTAACTAGACAGAACAGACACATGCCAGGCCTCATTTGTACAGAGTTTTCATACAATGATTTAAAACCAACGGTTTGAATGGTATGTGACCACCTTAATGTTCACAGTCATGAGTTCCATTCAATGTGTAATCTTCTCTTGTTCATGTATGTTTTGTACATGCAGAAATACCAATTCCAATGATTGAAGAAGTAAATGAGTGGTTTTGTGAGACAAAAATTACTAAAATACAGACCTTTCAATTGGGGTATATTAAGAAAACCATAAAATGCTTTTTGTAGCACATCAACAGTGCACATCAACTTCAGAAACCCTGGGCTATATAAACAATTCCAGAAAGACCAATGTGTATTGATCATTGTGACTGTTATACACCTGATGAGTTTCCCCAGAGCTCCAATTAAATTTCTTAAATACAAAAGGCATACAACAACACATTATATAATGTCACTGATAAATAAACACCAATTACAATTATTTTTTCCTTGCATTTTGTCTTCATGTTGGGGGGTGAGCACAGAAACATCACCATGGGCAACTACAGTATGTGGACATGCACCTAGGAAAGATGTGGGGTGCAATGTGTTGGGGCTGTTTCTCCTGGGCAAAGTAAAATATTGCTTTAAATATAGAGCGAGCTGCTTACTCCCACATCCTAGAGTTCCCTCTGTGTTCCTTGGACATTTATTTAAGTTTTAAAAAAATCTGAACCTTTTAACTGTCACTCATGGAAATAGAATTTAGACAGAAAAAAAAAACGTCAGACTCCTTCAGTTGACACTTCACTGAGCCAAAGTTGAGAAAATAAGGAATTCATATTTTCCCATACAAAATAATGATACCCTGTGGTGAACACGTCTCAGCTGCTTGGTTGAGCAGACAGACAAAGGGTTAAATGTGTTCAATTAAAAGTGAAGAGCACAACTTCTTTCACTGATATTATTGTTTGTGGTCTTGATTGCTTAGACCGTGATTTAACATCTTTGTATCTTGTTGAATAGCTTTAGACTATTTTCACTTTTAAGTGAGTTATAATTGTTATAATTTTTATCATCTTTGAGAACTCATAATTAAGAAATGTACATTTGTATTTTCACTTAAAACTTAAATTATTCATCAGGAGTTAACGAATATCTCAGAGTAATAACATTTATCACAGTAAACTTTAATATTTTCTGATAGTCCATTATTTAGTTTGCTGTGTCCATTCATTGAAATGACTGTGTGAAAAATAAGTAGGTATTACAATTGAAGATTTCAAGTAGTATAATTCCTTTTTGTCTTCAAATCGATGCACACATTATTCTGACTGTTGATGTTGTTGACTTAAGTTGTTGTTTAAAAGGCTTTAAATGTCATTTTGTTATTTGTTGAAAATTAAATTAGTATAATATGTTAATGATATGTTCATTTCTAGATGGAATACTTATTGGACTATAGATATTTTCACGGTTTTAATATCATATTCGATTATGGTCCAATAATTTATTTGATAGATTTCAACTTCTGTTATCCTTGTTAATGTCTAGTTAAAGGAAAACATAAGCTTATAAACATAGATGTTGTTTTTAACATACACAAGGTACAAATGAAACTTTACTGTATATATGAAGACAGAGCTAGACAGAGCTATTTAACAACAGAAAAAAAATGTTTTATTTTCAATTTGCAAATCCATTTTTTCATTTTTTTCAAGTTGTTCTCTTACTAATCTTCCAGGTTCTACCAAACAAAGGACTTATTGCCTGATGTGCAGTTGAATTGTGAAATGTTACCTCAGTGATCATTCCTGTATAAGTAGATACTTCTTGCAGCACTGTAAGGTCTTCTTGCATGTTTAATCTGGACTGTGAGATGCAGCCTGGTGGTGGTTTATGAGTATGTTTTGATATATTATTAAAGAGTTTTTTCCTAAAAGACACAGAACGTGTTACGATGTTTTAAACAATGCTTTTAAGGTTTACTCAAAAAACAAGGGTACATCAGAGACTGAATTATCAATACCCACTGATATTGTAGAGGCTGAAAAACATTAAGTGGAATCGAATCGTTTATTCTTTTGCCTGTTTCGGTAAGGTTTCTGTCTGTTTTCCCAAAATTTCAAGTGATTCCTAAAATCAAAGGCCCAAGTCTCGCAGTTACTGTCTGTCTCTCTGCAGTGCACAAGCCATCCCTTCAAAAAGAAACTCTAAACCAGGACACTGCGCTTCCTGGGGAAAGGATCTTTATTGACTTAATGCAACGAAGGCTTTCTTCATCTTCTTGAGCGTAGAGATAAAGTAAGTTCTTACCAGCTGTTTTTAGCTTCTGGCAGAATTGGTCATGAAAATCCCAATTACAAAGCAGCATACTTTCACCCTGATAGCTGCATGTATTTCTTCTTGTTAGTACTTTACTGAAAAATCCCATTCCACCCAGGAGCTTAAAGGTAAACGAGCAGTGGTGGTTTTGTGCATGCTGGGCTCATCTTCTGTCAAACACGTATTTACCTCATTAGGCCATGCCAAAGAAGAATTGGTCATGTTTCGCTTTAGTCTTGTGTCTGTGGCCTCATAGATTTTTTTTCACAAATTCAGAATTAACATTAGGGATTTAAAACAAAACCAAAGTGGGTGTTTGCCATGATGTTTACATTGTTGTTTCTCCAGCATTTCATTGTTGTTACACCTTGTTCCTAAGACTGGAAAAGCACAATAGTTGGAAATGGTTAACATAGTTTAATTTGAACAAAACAGAAGAATCAAAGGTGTGATCTTCTTACAGTTTGGGAGGTGGCGTCCTCTGGGTTTTAGCCTCTTCAATTATATATTAGTTATATATGTATATTATGTGTACAGTATGTGTATCTGATAAGGAACAACTTTTAAATGTGAGGTGTTTGTTAAGAGCAGTTTATATTCACAAAAGCTGAAATGAGAAGTCACTTTAGGTGGTTCAGCTGCCCTCTGCATTGTGAAACAGCAAGAACACTTTTTTATTGCTTTTCCTGAATTTTGTGTATTTTTGAATGCTTTGCTTAGAGGTAATTTTACAGGACCATCTTGACAGTTCCTAGTTTCCTATGAGAAACTGCTTCAGATGGGAAGAAAGGGAAAAGGAATTTGATTCCATTGTTCCGTTGTTAACATTATTTAATCAAAATACTTTTAATTTCTAGCTTTATTTAATCTAACATTTCTTAAAAAGACATGTTAAGAGTCAGAAATATACTGGTGCTCTTCAGAATTCACTCACATAATTTCATCTGGAAAGCTGAATGAGGTCAGTATAAATAAGGAAAGAAGGCATTAATTATACATACTGTAACACTTTCAATAGATTTTTTTATATTTCCTGAAACTATAAAGCATCGTTTGTTTTTCTGTGTTCGGAATTATGTTTTTATGTATGCTTGTATATGTGTATGACTGGACTTTTTCTTCATCCGCAACAAAGGAGGCTGGTCATTGTAACTGTCATCGTATTTAAACAGGAATTATTGTCTCTTGCAGTTGCGTCACATATGCCTAAAGGGAAAATAGATATCTTTTCTCAAGGAGCATTACATTGAACAATGCATGTCAGAGGACTGCCCCATAGAGATGACATATGTTTGGCAATGGACATCTGAAATATTGGTCTGGGTCTGGAAATGGCAGTATCACACTACCACCCCTGGAAATGACACTTCATCAGTTGAATTCTTCCTTTGAACGCTGCCAAACAGATGGCAAGGCTATAGCTTTTGCTATAGTCATCTCTTTTGTGTAGCTTTTTGCTTAGCATTACTTTGTGTGGACAATCAAGCCACTTTGTTGACCAGCACTGGCATTTCAGTTACAAGTATATTAAAAGATCAAGTATCTGTATGATACAACTAAATTTGTATTTAATTTGTATCATGAAAGGCCAGATATGGCTTGGTATGTTCTCACTGCAATCTGAGAGTATTAATCATACCACGGTGCGGTGGCTCTGTGGCTAAGGATCTGCGCCTGTGGCTGGAAGGTTGCTGGTTTATATCCCGCGGTCGGCAGAGGAATCCTACTCTTTTGGGCCCCTGAGCAAGGCCCTTAACCCCAACTGCTCCAGGACTCCGTATAAATGGCTGACCATGCGCTCTGACCCCAAGCTTCTCTCCCTGTCTGTGTGTCTCATGGAGAGCAAGTTGGGATATGTGAAAAAAGACAAAACCCTAATACAAGAAATTGTTTATCGCCAATAAAGTGATCTTAATTACGTTTTCATTTTAATTAAAACCATCTACAACCCACATGACTGGATTATTAGCATGCAAATTCTAGATTTTTCATTTTATCATTTTTCAGAAATGGCAGTATTCTTTTTTCACTGTAATACCTGTTTAATTTTTGCATCATTTTGGAGAAGATGCAATTTAAGACAAGTCATAAATACTGGACTTATGGCATTATGCAATCTAGCTATTTTCTTTAACATGTGCTCTTCATTATAGAGGTTATGTGAAATGGAAAAAAATATAAAATAGAAAAGGTGAAGTTTGTCATGTTAATTTTGATGAAACAATAAATTGTACAAGCTTCAATTTTATAAAAGCTATTTAACAGTCGAAGGCTACTTTTGCTGAGACAAACACCTGCTGTACCTGCTTTTGCAGTTCTGTGAAGAACCCATGTTTTGGATTAAAACAAATTAAACACAGTTGTTTTATGCTGTTGCATTATGTACATATTATATAAACAACTCTTACATCCCCCCACACAGACACTGCAGGCAGCCATAACCCAGAATATTCTGATAATGACTGTACAATACATTTAGAATTAACATAAGGCCATAACAAACCACAGCTGAACTACAGCCATAACAGAAGTAACAGCAATATGTCTTCAATTATAGTTTGTAATTGTCAAACATAAATGAAGAAATGACCAAACAAAAGCACTAACACATGCTGGAAATAAACTGGTATAGTAGGTGGGTGTCTTCTGGTAGAATATTTTGAATATTTAGAATATCCACTTTCTACACAAAACATAAATGGATCACTGAATCTTGAAACATGCAGTAGAATCCTGTATGTTTTTTTCTCATGTACCATACGGGACACATATCACCAAGTTGTTTCATTGAGCTGAATCATTTATTACAATGTTGTACAGAGAATGTCAACACGATTGAATATAAGAACAATTTTTAAATGGATTTTCCTTTCATATATACCAAATGAAATCAGCCGATTTTGAACAGTTTGTGTTTTGGAAGGGCCAGGGCAGGGCAGCTGAGGGACATTCTTAAGATTTTCATTAAGTTTAAGAACTATATCTAGATGAATTCATTGCTTTCCATAAAATATCCTTTCATGGGAAAGATGTATTATTTGCCTTCTGATTGACTGGTAGCTGAATTAAAAGCTGAAATATGATAACAGAATTTACTTCATTCATGTAACGGCTCACATCATACCAACCTCAGCAGAGATAATGGTATTATCAAACAGTCGTTACCAACATCTTAGGTAGTGAGGAAGTGTCTTTGCATTTGGAAGTGTATTTTCTGTGTTAAAACATTTTTCTTCATCGCAGTGGAGTGTTATACTGGGTGTCAAAAATGACAAGCCTGACACAAGTGAATCTAACCCATACAACACCCCAGCCGCTTCCTGTGCATGTGAACCAGTTTTGCCCCATGCCTTTGACTTGAGCTGTCCATTGTTTAGGAGCTACATACAGTATTTAATTTACAATAGTATTTAAAATTCACAGGCTAGGCAGAACTGATATTTTGAGTAAAGGTAGATGTATGGTGCTTAAATTTAAAACAAATCAAACAGTAATTTTCTCTTTCAACATGAGTGAATTTAAATCTCCTTTAAAGCAAGACTTCAACTTCTTGCAACTTCTGAGTGCATTTAAATCTGCTTTGCAGTGGGACTAATTCAAAGAAAATGAAGTGTGGTGATGAAGCTACATTATGCACAACTGTGAGGTCTTAGACCTGTTGATTTCACAAACATTATTATTGCATTCACATTTTAAAGAATTAAATAGGCTTAAGCTCTTTGCTTTGTAAGCAAAAAGTAAGATGAGGTGCCTTTCTCTTGTTTCTTTCTACTTCAAGAGATAAGTAGTCTAAAATAGAAATGTACTGTTCATTTTGCTTCCTATCCTCTTTCAGTGCCCCATTCTCTTATTATTTGGCAAAGTTAAAGAAAATGATGGTCTTATGGAGAACAGTAATGTCCTAAAGGTTTGTTTATAATACACACAGTCCTATGGCACAGCAGCATGAATAGTTAAAGTAGCATGATAGATGCCAAGCACTAATGAATGAGGTTAATACGCACAGTATATCTCTGTGTCTGACCATTTATCTTAATGACAAATCATTCTTTTAATCCATTCTAATGTACTGGCATCAAGAAAGCAATTTCAATTTAAGGTTTATTTTACAGTTGACATCAAAAAAGAGTGCATCAAACAGAAATGTACACATCTTAGGAAATGTTAACAAGATGTAAAAGTGCATGCAAAATGTGAGTCTTCTTTATCTATTTAACTTTTTTTTTTACTACAGCCGGATGCCAAAGCACAATCTCTGCAGTCTTCTTGTTCAGCTCATGTGTGAAGGACATTCTGCCACTAAATTTCAAGGAGGCATGTTTTACAAAAATGACATTTATGACAAATACTTTCAGCAAGCTGATGGAATAGATGTGTCTGGCTTTATACAAGTATTCATGTCAGAATATTATTTTGTTTTTGTTTTCTTTTTTATTATTGAATATTTGCTTTTGAATCAGGCAGTTACCCCAGCTGGAAAAAAACAGGTTGCTCTGTTAAATATATATATATTTATACAATGTTTCCAATGATGTGAATTTCATTCCAATACAAAGAAAAATGTGATGTCTTGTTTTTACAGTTATATGATAACAGCTCAAATACAGTGGTTGTCCTCCGTAGGTTCAAACATTCAGGAAATGGTTTTAAAGTCTGTTTTACATTTTTGGCTCAAAGATTTTAAATATGCAATTATCGTATCCTAATATTGTCTTTGTCTTCAATGGTGAGGAATTCCGATCAAAGTTTTCCCCCTTCTTTTTATACTTTAGGGAATTTTCAAACGTCGGGAAGTGTGGCTGTAATGCCCCAAGATTTGTTCTCCCTGAAAGAAATCATAGAGTAACAATTTATTAAACTACAGAGCAACCTGGATTTTAGGGGTCTGCATTTGTTTTTACTTAACGTTATTTGTAATAAAATATCTCTCTATGCTCTCCAGAATTTATGTGGTGTCATTTAATAAAGGCAGCCATATTCATGCATTAAAAAATAATCCTACAGATATTTTGGTAATGATTTGCTACAGGGTTTTTATTTGCAAATCCATGGGGCATTACTTTGAAATAATAAATATACTAATGAAAATAAGGAAGAAAAAAAGGTAGAAAACAGTTTTCACTGTGCATTCATCACTGAATCATATTCAATCTGTTGTTGTCACTGAAAAGAAATCCTGTAAAAATTAATTTTCATTTTTTGAGAAAAATGTAGAAACAACACATTCAATTTTAATATAATAAAATAAAACTCATTTAAAGCAAAGTATTTTATTCACACAAATTTAATCAGATATATAACAACCGTTTGGTCCATAAATATTTAAGGGGAAATAGTTTCTATACACCATCTTTATCAGGAAACAAAGAAACATGGACAATCTTGTTAGACCACTTACTGTACTATAAACACGAAGATCAATATATAAGATTCTTGGATTTACCAACTATAGCTGAAAGAGTGCACAACTGCTTTCTATGACATCTCTGTCCCCTTTTAACAGGATACACCATAAAAAGATCTTCAGAAATCAGAAATCAATGTAAAACAGTACAAAACTAGTGAGGCGTTAAAAGGATGTGAATCAGTTAACAAACAACACATATATCCTGAATTTCACAAACTTTCTCCCAAGTTATAGCATAAGGCACATAATAGAACTGAGTTAGGCATCTACTTTATAAAGTAGATCTATAGTACCACTTTTGTTCTATTAAAGAACAAATTTTGACACTTTCAATGAAATGTTCTTAATACCAGCAAGGACTTTCCTTAGCTTTCAGCCAGAAGAAACATGTTTTTGGTCTGTTCAGTGGCAAATGTCCATAAAGAAAATAATAAATGATGTTCAAAAGATAAGATGCGTATGAATTTTTTTCAACTGGCTCATTCAAAATGTTACAGTTATCAAATTACTTTTTAATACATTTTCAGCTCTACTCCGTATGTCTCTGTAGCTAACCCATGCGTCGTTTTTACAAGTTTTTAAACTAACACCCTGAGCAACATATATAATAATGCACTTTCTATTGGGCAGTATAGTGTCACTGTGCAATTGTACTTAAGACTAAGTCTACTGGAAATCTGAACTTAGATTTTCCCATGTTACATTTTAAGTAATGAGGCCTGAAGACTGGTAAAAGTGCTCTATTAAAACAATCAACTAAAACACTCGCCACCTCTTGGCTGTTTAAATTCAGAACAAAACTCTTCTGATTTTCTTTTCAGTGTTTATAACTAAAACACTGAAACACATCTCATTCAATGTATCAGGTTTGCCTGTTGAACAATTACCACTGTACAGATCTCAAGAATTCTGTTAGCTTCCTGCTACAGTTTAGCTTTACGCTAAAACAAAACATATTCTGAGGTCAGCATCCACCTGGCTTTGAGTTTAGAAGCATTTGAAGTTCGATTTTAGATTCCGTGTTATATCGTTTTAAAATACTGTGGCGATTTGTGTAGGACCTTTTGCTTTACCATTTTACCTAGTGCTAACTTTTACATTTTAAAAAATGATAACATAAATATTTAGTCAATAATCTAGAGGTTCTCTGTTTTCTTACAGTCCCAAAATGACTGGAATAAATCCAGTAAACCCAATAAAAATAAGGATAATTATGAACAAAAAGAAAGACAGTATGTAATGACTTATGAATTATATTTTACTAAACATCTTACAAATAAATATTTACACATTTCCATAAAGCATATATTAAAGATATCCTTCAGGAAGGGAAAGTACAGTGTGGTGCATACATAGGGACATTTTGCTGGGCAAGCTTAAATAAATACAAAATTATTTAATGCTAGGCATGAAAAAATGCAGATTTGTGAAGTTTTTTAATCAAAGGAAATGTGTAAATTTTTAAATGTTGATGTTTATAGTCAAAAGTATAATTTAATAATTGTTTGCCATGAAAATAATAGACATAAATATTGAATTTCAACAGTTTATCGCTAGTTTTGCTCTTCAAAAATTCAGATGTGAATTTTCTTTTTACATAATTATCTAGAACGCTGCACATTCGAATTTCTCGAGACCAAAAAGAAAAATCTGCATACACTGACTATGAAACTCAGCTGCCAAGTGGTTGCAAATGCTACACACCAAGATTTGTGTTTGTTTGCTCTCCCAAGATCTGTCTCTGGTTGTTAAAATGTCTTGTAAAAAAATGTTAGAAAAGGTTTGTTAAGGTAGTTTGTGAGGGACTCCCAGATTCGTGGCTGTCCAGACTAGAGGTCACTGAAGTCACTACAGTGATAGAGGGATTGGTCAGGTCTGTTAATGTGGTCGCAGTGCTGGGTGGAGTTAGTGCGCCGCTGTCTGACGAGGGCGGAGGAGGAAGTGACGTGCCATCAGCTTTATCAACACCCCCATTCTCCTGTCGCAAAACGTTCCTTCTGAATTTGGCTCTTGCGTTTTGGAACCAAACCTGCAAACCAATCCCAATTGATTTCTTTACTTTTCTTTTCTGCTTCTTTGTTCTACTTTGCTTTTTTTTTAAATAACGCAATATGTTTGTATGTTATTAAACACCACAGTTTTACTTGCTACAGATTGTAATATGAGAAAAAAGAGGAGATGACAATAAGAAGTTTAAGTTACATTAAGAACTGGGGTGCTGATGTTGACACAACTTTTCTTTTATCCTTAACAACCAATAACCAAATAGTAATAAAGACCACCTGGAAGCAGAATGTTGCATCCACCAAAAATAAATTTGTGCATGTGTATATATAGATACATACAGTATACACATACATGTATTGACATAAAAACAGTCATTGTGAATTTCAATTTGTGATTAAATTCTTCCTCAATATTAAGAACATAATGGACTTTATTCATATTAATATATGGGTTACTAAGGGTACAGCCAAACTAAGCCTTATTACAAAATAGCTTAACCTTTCACTTTACAGAGAAGTAGGAGTAAAGCAGTGGATGAAACATGTCTACCGACTAAAGCTTTTTAGTGTAGTGCTTTCTTTCTCCTGGTTGTATAAACTGTAACCTGAAAACCAATAAAACAAGTCCTGATATAAAACAATAAACAGATCAACAAAAAATAAGATGAGTTAAAAAGAAAAAAAATATGGCAACAGCTAAACAGAGGATTCTAAGAAAGGACAAGGAAGAGCCCAATTAAATTCATGCTTACCTGGAGAACTCTTTTGGTAAGCCCAGTTTTCTGAGCAAGCTGCTTTAGGTCTTTAGCATCAGGGTTGTGGTTGATAGCAAAGTATGACTTCATGGTGCGGAGCTGGTGATGTTTGAAAGACGTACGCATACGCTTGGTCTTCTGAGAGGGAGGGTAAGACTGCTGGTCCCGGTCCAAGTGATCTGCATCATTTTCATTACAACCTAAACACAAAAATGTTTTAAAAAAACTGTCAATAATCACAAAGCAAGTGGTTGGCTTTCACTAAATCCTGCTGTATTGAATTGAAACCATCAACCCATGCAGTATTAACAACAGATATTGTTTTCCCAGTCTCAGTATTTCCCTTTATAACTGATTTGGAATCAGAACTATTATGAAGCATTAATTTTTGTCTGCATATCGTTTGGGTGTTTTGGTGTGCTCCTGCATTTTTAGGTAGGTTTAAAAGTGTATTTCTAAGAGACTTTTACTGTGCCAGACAATGTTCACTTATACAGCTGTATATTGTTTTATTGCAAGATCCGTTCTCTAAAATTACAATAAAATCAGTCTGGATCCTTGGTGGTAACAGGAACCACAACAGTATGCACTCCAAAAACCCAAATGCCAACACTATAAAAGGCATGATTCCGAAACATCTGGATGCTACATAAAGTAAAAAGCGATGCATTTAAAGGATTAGAATTTGTTTTCAGTCCTTTTGGGCTAAAGCCTGAAAGCTGGAAAAGGATGAACTCCTTAAACGCAAAACAAAATGTACCCCAAAACATTTCCAAAATTAAATCTTTTCAAAATGATTTGTGCAAAATCTGAAATCACACCAAATCGGATTTACCATAGTTAAACAGTGGGGCTCTAACTTAAAATATTGATAAATGCGATTTTTTTCCATAAACAAGCCAAGTAATAAACAAGATTATGCCATTCGCAAGATAATTTTTGTGGTCTGTCAACTACATATTGGTGTCATGGAAAGTAACATGGAAACTAAAAATTGTTGGTCTTTTTTTCAGGTTAATACGGGTTATAATGCACAAATTTCATATTTTAGGGAATTATTTTCAGTTTATATGAAATGTTGTGTATTGTCATACTCTTATCTTTTAGCTGCATTGAATTACAAAATTCTCAGTTAAGCTGAAGTTCGGTTAAGTTATTGCTTTCCTCGGGATGAGGCCTTGTAAACTCAAGTAAGTCTGTTATTGATTTATTTACTCACAGCAAGAAAACTGCCACTGGTTTCTGGTTATCAATATGACTAGGGACTGTGCATCTCACAAAAAGAATAGAACAGTCATACAATCACTGGGAAATGTTAATAAAATAATGCATCTATTGAATGAATGAATTGGATATTTAGTGAGACTGAAGAAGGAAAAACAGGTCACATTAGGTTAAGTGAGTCTAATTATTTGTTCTTTAGAACCTTCCAATTTGCCTTAAGCGCACTTTACAGTTATTAATGGCTGAGATTTTAACTTCTAAACTAAAGCAAAATACTGACCAGCTACACAGCCGATTTTTCTGTGCTTTTCTTATCTCATGAGTAAGACAGGGAAAATCCTACCTGCTGTTTCCCTGGTATTTACTATTCAGAATTATGATTACAGTAATAAGTGTAAAAAAACAACATCACAACAATAATAAGATGATGATAATTTAGCACAGTTCTTGGGTCCTGATTCGATTTTGGCCCGGGATACCCTCTGCGGCGAGTCTGCAAATTCGCCTAACTAACGACTCTAACTTCTGCTCCGCAGGCGAGCGTGTGAGTCAATGTGTGTGTCCTGTGATGGACTGCGTCCAGTCCAGGGTGTATCATGCTGTGCGCCCATTGTTAGTGAGTAGGCACCGAGACCTTCTGTTAGACCAAGCGGCTGTTGAAAACGAACGGATGAATCCGTTTTCACTTTCAACGGGAATCATGATTTTGTTAAATTAAGAATTAGTTCTTTCCGGAAGCTAGCATTGGTATTATATTAACTAATTTAAACAACGAGCATCAGGTTATTTGAAATGATTATTTTTTAACAAGGTTCAAATGCATTGTCAACGATATTTTGCTGCATAATTAAAAAAATGATTAAATAATTTAGAAAATGACTAGGAAGTGAAAAACTGACAATTTAAAATAAATTATCGGCAAGTAGTGCCAGGCTGAAAACATTTTGGGGTAGGCGCAGACATATACACACGTAAGACTTGAACTGTCTACATTGTTATTATTTTGCCTGATATTCTAGATGCCATGATTACGAGATATAGTGTAGGCACATTAAGGAATAATTAAAGGAAGAGATTGCATTAATGAAAAAACTCCCGAATTCTTTACTGCGAGATTTAAGTTTAGGTACCTTAAATGAGATATTCTTAAATTGTTTAGCAGTTAATTTGCTATTGTTCAATTATTTTAATCCATAAAATGACCACCAGGGGTCCCTGTATCATCATGTAAAAACCTAACACCCTTATTAACAATAATCTGTCACGAGTTTGGAGATTTTAGGATAAAAACAACCCCACTGTATTATTTAACACCCCTTGAAGAATAACAGAGGCTGAAAACAAAACAGGCTTGTTGCATGATTTAAAATAGATCTTTTTGTAAAATGCACCCATATTTTGCTCAAGATTTCGAATTGTTTGGAAACAAAACATAATCACATATTTTTTTAGGACAATGTTTTTACATTGTAAAACGTCCAAACGCAGGTCATAATGATAGATTATTAAGGACGTGCAAAAGACTTTTTTCTCACTCTGAAATTGTAACTTATTTGTCTATTATTTTTCTCTGCGCCAGTGTGTGCATATACAATATACTGTTACAATGAGCCTGTCTATTGTTTTCTATTTCAAATAAAAATATTGGTCAAAATATCGTAAATCAAAATGAAAATAAAAATGCCTTAATGGATTTTAAGCCTTGGGACTAAATCAGTAACCAACCTTTTATTTTCAATTCATGTTAAAGTATCTTGACTATCTATAAAATAAAAAAAATGGTATGGCTGCTTACGTAATCATAAATATGTCATGCTAATATAGGTCTGTAGTCTACAGTAATTGGCTATGTACTGTTATGAAAGGTGAATGTACATATTCTGCGAATATAATTCGCTCTTAAATAAGATATACTGCACATTTAGATACATTTATTGTACATTGGCTTTTTGCCTCTCTTATTTCCTAAAACCGCAAGCAAAATCGTTTTTTTTATATTATTGCTTTTGTAGTTCATACTAATGTTTGAAATAATATTATACCGCTATGCAGTTTAATATTGCTTGGAAAGAAAAACAATTAAATGCAATGCAAATATAAAATCTTTTTTTTTTTAAGTGCATTATGTTTAGGCCCAATCCGTTGCTCTCCAGTTCCCGTGCTAAATTAATGCGAGTCGGTGTAGTGGTTCCCGAGAACTGAATTGACCTTCAAAGAAGTGATTAAAAGCTGGTTGGAAGCTGGGGATTCCTACGTCATCTTCAATTAACAGAGAACAATTAACTCGCAGATTACCCTTATTCCACCCCATTCACGAAGAACAGCTAAAACTTGGCACACAAAGCCAAACTTCTTCAAGCAAAAGATAATTGCAAAAATGGTTCCAGAAAAAAACGCAGTGTGTGAATTATAGCTTCAAAGGTACGTAGATTCCAAAGCATTAAAGTATTTCGAGTATAATAATAATTGTCATTAGTATCAAAGCAGAGAGCTCATTAACTGATATGATTCATACCTGCTGAATCAAAGGGGTTAAGAGTCAAGCCTTGTGAGTTCAATCTTTATGTATCTTAGCAAATGACTTTTTTGGGGCAATTCCATCTTCGTATTTTATTTTTTGTCAATAATTCACAAATACAATTTTGAAGGTATACGCTGTTTTGGTTTCGATTTCTTGGGGAAAAGAGCCTTTGCTGTATTTAATAAAAAATAATAACTAATAAAATGTTGTAATCCAAGAGCCTTTAACAAAAAAAAAGTTTTATACTGTAGGTTGTGTCTAATACCTCGATATTTCTAGGGTTCTGAGCCGTTAACCTGTAGGTGACCAATTCACCCCAATCAGCTACCCCCTGTTTTTAATGGGGGCAGGACTGTTAAATTAAAGAATCAATAATGATCAATTGTGCTTAGTTATATTGCCCAGAGAAATGTGACTTGTTATTCGTTACTTGTTAGAGAATCCTTTAGCCCGTGTGAATGTTGCGTATTAATAAGGAACAGTTTCATTAGCAAGTACATACTGTATATTGTGGCAAATATCGAGTGTAGATATTAATTATTCTCCTCGATTACATGTCTAAAAACCGTCTAGCTACTCTGGTAATTAAGCAAGTATTTTAAATGGCTTAATTGTTTATTATCACAGCACAGAAGTGTGGGAGGGGAATGAAGAATAAGATTTTCAACAAATGTGTAGTTCGATCTTATAATATTTTGTAATATTTTAGGGCCATACTGAAGGTGAAGAGTACTTACCTGAGTTGTAACTGGCAATGTCTACACCTATCGCTGGATTCTTTCTCTTCCGAGGCCTCCCCTTCTGGACCGTACCAGTGCCGTTGAAGTAAGGCAATGCCAACCCCCCACTTTTGGCAGCTAATTCGGTGTAGTTTAACTGGGGGTGGTATTCTCCCTGTAGAAGGGTTTCGAAGTGGACCCTGCAGTACACGAGGCTGTCTTTCATACCAAAATGGTCTCCCGTGGTTAGGGTCTTGTTGCAAGTTGTACACGTGAAGCAGCTCAAGTGATAGACCGAGTCCCTGGCGCGCATCACCATTTCCGAAGCCGAGATACCAAGGTGGCAGCGGGCACATCTCTGCACGGAGAACCTTCTGAAACAGCAAACATTCTTTAAAGTAATGCGTCGATGCGCATCGTGCATCATTCCTGATATGAAAATAAAAATAACCAGTTTATTGTTTGGTACTGTAAAGACGGTACTTTTCTGAGGTAGATCATACAGTACATGTAAGGGGGTAGTTGGACTGATTGGAGACTTGCCTTAATTGTATGTGTCAATTCTTGAAAAATATAAAGCTACAAGTCACATTATGCTGTGGGCATAGCTTAAGTCAACGGTATATAGTAATTAGTATTCAAGAAATACTTTTTTCAAATATTGCTTTTAAGAAATTGAAATTATCAGTTGATGTTTTGCAAGGACTTAAATGGTCAATAATGTAGGTGGAATCTTGAGTTATACAATCCTTCATGTTGAAACGTGCTTAGTTTTTATTTGCAATCCAAAATTATTCAGACTCGCAAAAATGTATTGTCCGACCGATCAAGGAACGCGAAGCAGGCCACTGTAGGGAACCGGTTATTAAGTTTTTTTCATGCTCCGCAAAATACAGTTAGAACGCTTTTTATATGAAACAGTTTCTGTAGGCCTACAATATTTGTTTTACAGTTGGGCACCAAGTAAACTAAAACTGTTGGAATATTAATTGTTATGTGTTTGAAAATGTGTTTTCACGTGCATTATACTATATAGTTTAAAATGTGTAAACTGTATTCTTCAGTTAGAAATATATAATCGAGCGAAATGTTGCATGCAACAGCCAGTAAGAATCTATTTAGAAGTAATTAAAAAAACGTATAAAAACATAACCATATTTAAGCAGCCTTATGAAAATCAGATAAAGTTTTTCTAAGGTTTGAAAGAAAATGGTAATAACAATAACTTACCATATGCTTTATAAAGATATAATATTATATTATATATAATATTAGTCTAATTGCCCATTACTTTCGAACGATTCATTTTAGGTCTTGAAACGTTTTCATTTGGAAAGTAAAGTTAAAGACACGACTTTAGTGACTTTCCTTAAGGATTCAAATTAAATTCCAGAATATTCTTACCTGTAGTAATCCTCTTTGCAGTAAATGCTGCCATCCTTTGCGAAACAGGTGAGTTCTGATTCAAGAGCGAGTTTACATTCACAGCATTTAAGACACCTCAGGTGCCACTGCTTGTCCACTGCGAGTAAATAGTATCTGTCCGAGATTTTGCCGCCACAACCAGCGCACAAGGCAGGCTTCTCCGGACTCATGGAGGGCATACTCTGTAAAACCGCGACAAGCAATTCAATTTGTATAGTTGTAATTAATTAGACAATTTTATGCATTAAAACAATATAAACGGTGTATTTCCATGTATATGATATTACAAATGATATAGATTAAATATGCTCAATTTTATTTATTCTAAATAAATACTGTAATCACAACCTTAAAAATAATAAATGAACAAATATTTTGGCATTATCTACGGTGCTTAACATTGGAAACAACCATAGTAGGCCTGTGTTTGTAGCTTTTAGGAAAACACATAAAGTTAAAAAGTTTAAACAAATGTTTAATACACTTCACCTGAACATAAAAATGATGTAATGTTACTTTTAGGAAAATGTGACAAAGAATTAGTCTTGGCAGATTTTCAATATATAACAGTTCCAAACGAAAAACACACTGGGTGTGGTTTACACAATAAACACGAATATTCATTCTAAGTTTAATGTACCTTTATAGGCATGTACAAGACATACGGATTTATCTTTAAAATAAATCGGCTTTAGGTTAAATTAATTGCACAGGTTCATTTTTATTTTCTTCTGGTAACACTAAAGCTCAATAATTCAATAATCAGCAGTTCAGAACTAGTTTATTTTAGTTTAAATTTACGAATAAACAAAATAAAAACTTGTGTTGTAGTATTTTTATCATAATATCATTCAAACGTGTTACATAATTTGATTTCAGAGACCTACCTTAGGGAACTGATTTGAGCTATATTTTAATTCACACAATCTTTTGTCCATTTTTCCTCTATCCAGTTTTGAAGGATACAAAGAGATAGACTTGGTTGACTACAAAAGGTACCATTTCATCATCAAATGATGTATCCTTCAAACTGTAAAATGTATTGTTACCCAGGTTTTGTATTCAAACCTGAGCTGTTTGGATTAGTTTAGGGCAAATTCAGTTATCCACGTGTCGCTTTATAACAGATTTACATGAAACTACAAATCTGGGAATTAAATCACGCAAACCAACAACATTTGCCGAAAACATATTGTTTTCCTGGTAGAGACAATACACTTTTGTCAAAAAGGAATAATAATACAACGATATAGCCTATATATGTTTAAAACACGTCTGTATATAGAAAGTACATTGCGACAGAACAATATTGTGTTATTGCTGATATTAACAACAATGTGCTGTTCCTATGTGAAAACAAGCTGTGCTTTAAACATTTTCAGTACATATATATTTGTGGATTCTCTAGCCCTCGCCTTTTTCTATGTTAATTGATGTCTATTTGTTCGATTCAATTAGTTATTAAGGCCTATTACGCTTTGAAAACATAAACCAACGCGTTAACAGTCCCAGCTAATAACTGCCTTTTGTACCAAGGGGGTCTTTTAAAATAAAGGGAACTGCTGTTAATTCAGAAACAGAGTCCTTACCGTCTCCCTTCCGTTCATTTGAACGCCTTTGGCCAGACGAGACTCAGTTTTAGATCTCCTTTCCATCTCCTCCATGATTCCTTGAATGTGATCCCCGGAGATTCCGTGGAAAAGCATGGCTGATGATCGGAATGTGTAAGTGTTTTCTTCTGCCTTGCACCCCACAACTTCCATATACAACCCCCAGAGTCTCAGATCATCCGAAAATATCTACAGCAAAAGATTCACACAGGTGCTAAGCTTCACTTTCTTGCAAGTACAACTCAAACGGTTATTAAAAGATTGGGAAAAGAAAAGACCGCAGCAGTGACTCACTTCCCAGTCTTTGATAACGGCTTGCACAAAGTGTAGTCCAGATAATAAGGCAACCAAAGTTAGAGCTGGCGGCAAGCAGAAATAACAAATGTTGATGTTTTTGTTTTCTGCAGTCCCTTATTTCCTTTAGGGTTCCAAGAGCTTGAAGGTCAGATTGGGACTGCCTGAATTTGAGAGCTGTGTCCTATTTGTGAACAGAGCAAAAGCCTGCCCAGTTTGGATAATTTGGTAGGAGGAGTTCTCCCTCTCTGGATTGCCAGTGATTTCTATTCACCAACAAAGACCTGTCATTCTCTTCTCAAACCCCTGGTGATAGGCAGCACGGGCAGAGAGAAAAATGAATTGGTATTAACTTTTTTTTTTCATTAATAGTGTTTTAAATAGATTTTTAAAAACATATACGATTATTTCTGAAAGAATAAGAAAGGGAACAAAACTGTTTTCTATGAATACCTGTCCATCATTTTACATCTTCTAATACAACATCAGTGTTGCTGCCGCAGTAAATCAATTAATATTAAATGTAAGTAAAAACGTAGATAAATGTTAGTTTATTTAGATTAGTAATGTCAAACAAAGATACAGGATGCTTTTATACTCTGTGTGCCTCTCTTAATGGGCAAAATTAAACAATAACATACATTAAATTATGGCAGTTTAAATGACCTTTTTAATTTTCACTCACCATTCAAAATAAAAAAAAAGTCTAAAATGAGGCCCGTGGACGTTTGTTCAACGTAGTTTTGCTATAAACAACAGAAATTTAAAACAAATATTGCGGACATCGACAAGCCGCCTTACAAATGGACTTGGAACATTGTTCTAAGCAAAGCGCAAAGTTTCATTAAACTTTCCGAAATGATCGAATCGATGTGTCGCCCTTTGTAGCATAACTGTGTTTTAGTTTACAATTTACAAAAAAAATATGAATTTACAAAGCGGAAATATTTATATTTTATTTTAATTATATTCCAACCGTTCCTAATGGTTTCCTAGCGCTCATTCCATCATGTTCCGGAACCCTATCAGGAAAAAATGTATGTCCATTCGCAATTACAGTATATTCCAAAACTGTTTCCTTCAAAAATATAAAATGGTTTACTAGAAAGGCCATTTCTGATATTAATAATATCTTAAATTTCATTTCTAAGTGTTGCACAAGATTATTCTGTTTTGAAAATAACGTTATTACATAAATGATATTAAGACTAGCGCCACTTTTTATACCAGTATTCTTTCTCACATATTGAACGCATTTGGGATATCACATTAATTTTTAATTATTTATGTGGAATCTTATTTACATATCTGAGAACTAATGTTCCACCAAATATCAGGAATAGAATTTGTCACCTGTGCGGATCTGATACCATTCCTGATTGAAGGCTTCGCTCTTCTGTTCATATTTGATTTTACCACAACCCTACTCCTGTATTATCCACACCTTAGAAGATTAAGTATACTCTGTATCCGAAGGTTTAAAACAATACATACTGTACGGCTTGTTTCTATGTGTATTGCTTGCACATAATGAATCAAGTATTTAACACTTCTCGTCTGATTGATGATGAATCAAATCACATATCTTGATATCCATATAGCTATAATTTAGTCCATAAGGCAGAACTGCATGTGTAAATTATTCTAATCAAGTGAAATAAACTGTGATTTGCTATTTTCTTGGCATGCTGTAATCTGACAGCAGGGCTGCTATTTACTGTAAGTAATGCAATTAGCCGTTTTTTTAAAAAAATCAATGCCCTTTAAATAAAACTGTTATCTATTATACACTCAATGGGGATCCCAATTATTCAAGACTGTGTTTGTAATGACAATATGACACGCCTAATAATTTTTGCTTACATTAGATTTTGTGATTCGATTGAGAACTGAGACCATTAATATTGCGATGAACACAATACAGAACGTGTTTCGAGAATTCCTGAGGAATATTTCGACGGACCAAATCATTGTAAATAAACATCGTTCAACCTCTGTGGCTATTTATCAAATTAACATTTTATGATTTGCACTAGCCGGCAAAACACCGACGTGCAAAATTTAACAGGATAAATCATATTTACAGACATTTACCGTTTTTGCTGTTTGCGGCATCATTGCTTTTCTGTTTAGTACGGCAAACACATCCAATTAAAAGTACCTCACCTACAGTATGTACTGTATAAAACAGTATACATTTAAGATTAAATTACTTACACTGTTTATTTTCCACTTCCACACAATAAAACGGGATTAATTTATTCCCTTTACATTTAATATTAATGATACAGGGATTTGTTTGTTTTATGTATAAGAATTTAGAATTTTTATTTAAAAAAAAGCTAAGTACTCTCCATGTGCTTTGCCTGTTAATAGATTTCTTCACGTTCAATACAAATCTGAAGGTGCAGTAGGTACACTTGCCAATACCAATCATTTTAAGTAGTGTTACGTTTCCATCTGTCTCAACGCTGTGGCTCTATTAAATATAATTAAGCAGTTCCAGTAGCACCACTCTAAAATAAACTGAACAAACTGAATTTACTGTTAATTGCATAGTCCATTCTTTTCGCTGTGTCAGTTCCTGTTAACAGTACACTAACTGATGAAGACGACATCGGCTATATCCAGGGCATGGAGGAAACATTGCATTCTACTTGGAGTCATATAGAACATCGTAAATGATATTCTTTAAGAAACCATAATGTTTCCAAATCCAAATAACATTTTTATGGTGTAACTATTTAGAGGTGGTCTTTATCTTTAAAAAATAACACAAATGGCATTCCATTATAAAACCCCCGGGAAAGATAACGGCTATAAAAAAAACAATTCTAATGTAAAAACACACAAAAAAGGCAACTTACCAATTCATTTGACTTTACGCCCGCTGGTCTTCTGCAGTATACAGTACAGTGCCTTTATGTACAACAGAATGATGTCAGTTAATGCTATTCATATTAAGGTAAGTACGGCCGCTTACTTCAGATGATTTCTATATATTTAATTAATTGATTCAGATTTTTAAACCATAGAACTTCCTTCGGTAGTATGCTATGAAAACAATATTTGAATGCTGCTAACTTCACATCTCCTAATAATCGGCCATGGGCAAAACTGTAAGGCCATCACACACCGACCACCAGCTAAGCAGGGCTGAGAACTTTCGCTATCAGAAGACACACATTTTGTACACATATATGCATGTACCTATATCTTTGTGTTTGCTTACACGTTAAATTTGTCCAGTTTCCTGCAGTATGTGATCTTTAAGAATGGTGAATGAATATAAACGAAACGGATTCATTACGGAACATTAACAATGTGTGAATAATTCAATAATAAAACTGCAAGGTGTTTCTCACCGAATGCGTTTTTTGAGGAAACGAAAGTTATTTTTAATTTCACAACAAGAAACTCAATGTTTAAAACGCACCGAAAAGACAAACAATTTGGTTTTGACACCTTTTACCACAGTATCATTACTGGAGAAAAATCATTTGGGGTTCACATTTTGATTCTGCTTCGCATTTTAGTTTATGCAGTAGAATTTGATAGTGATTGACGTTCATACATAACCACTCCTGCGTTATTTTGCAACTAAGTAAACACTTAAATTACATTTTCAGTGATAATTATCGTACATATACCATATACTAAAACATTACTATAAATGAACAGATGCGCAAATTAGATCATGCTGATTGTACGCTGATTCAAGTGCCGGCTTGAATATACAGTACGTTTTTAAAGCTGGTATAATGTGTAAAACACGTAAAGAATGAAAATTAAAGAGGGCACGTTAGTTAATGTGCTGTCTTTCGAGGATATACCTGTCAAGGCTGAATATTCTTAACTCTGTCGCTTGCTCTTTGCTGAAGCGATCTATTGACGTTATATTGACAATGATTTTCCTATTAAAGCACAATGTTGGATCTGTGCATGTCGTGTATAGAGTACTCATAATAAAGAAATTAAATCCAAAGACACTAAAGGAAGAGCAGTTTTAGCTTACCTTGGCTTTAAGACGCTTTCCAACGTGAAAATGTGCCCCTGTGACTGAGGGCTGGAAATATGATGGAGTAGAGATGGCAGGGATTCTGCCAGTAGATGGGGGTTGTTCCTTGTTTCTTTCAGTCCCAGTGTTAATTAAAATAAAACAGCTGCTCGGTGGACTGAGACTTGTCTGCGTTTTCTAAATATATATTTAAATATTTCAGTATTTTGAATATCGGTTCAGGAAATTCTAAATTATGTGCAAACTAGTCTAATTTGTAAAAAAAAAGTAATTTAGTCTTTAATTTTATGATCATATAAAACATTGTGTAATGTATAGGTTATTTTAGAAGAAAATGAGAGCGAGTGTACGCAAATTCACTTTTAAGGGAGAGAATATATATATAGGGTGGATTGCTATGTAGTGAGAATTGTTTGTACACATAATGTTAAATAAAAGCGTAGTTGTGTATAGGTCATGTTATGGTTATGATTACATCAAAATGACAGAATTCCTAAGCGTTATAGAGTAAAATATCAGATGAAGACGGAATCATATAAGTCTAATGAAAATCAATTATAATGTCACACAAGTCTAAGCGTATTGTACCTGTACTGTGGACTACAATTCGTGTTTAATGTGTTAATAGCATTATCTTATGGAAATGACAGATATTGTTAATGCAATGATGACTTAAAGCATCACCTGTTTAAAATAATTAAATAATCACAAATATTTCATATAAATCTCAGAAAAAAATGTTACAGAGGGTTTGTACAGACTCTAATATCTTTTTTTTTCTGAGAGAGAAGGGTTATACTTTGGGTAACTTGGATAGAGTTTTAGGTAGGCAGTTCGATTTCGATTTTTAATTTGCTGTTAATATTTAACTGCTAGGGTCGACACGGGGAGATGCGTCAGAATACGAGTTACAAAGGAACATTTAGAGGTTAATTCCATACTGAAAAGTAGGAAGAAAGAAGAGAGTGCAGGGTTTAGGTTTTGGAACCTTCTTCAAGTGTGTGAGAAGGCTTTGTAACAGAAATATTGTTTATCTTCTTTCTTTTTACTTTTATGCGTCGAATTAACATTTAATTGTTTCATTCCAAACTAAGCATTGCTATTTTTATGTAATAATTATTTTAATTATTTTTGTATCGGTAATCTATAGGTGCTTGTGTTACCTCGTGAACTTAATTAAAGG